TGTTGCTTAGTGCTATCCTTTAACGGAATGTAAGTAGGTCAGCATGGTACTTTACACTAGAGCATCCTTTTATGTAAACACATATTTCCGTTGTAAAAGTTTCTCCGCAATATTTAATTTACTATTTTAATCTTGTAATTAGGCACTTAGGAAATAGAAGTTATTTTACAGCAGTACAATCGTCTTGCATGGCTGCTAGCACTTAGCAAATAATAATAAGTTTAATACCAAGGAGCATAAACATTTTACTACTTTGCAATACACTACTTTACCCCCATAAAACCTTTTTGTAGAACATAGTTGTAAAATTAATGGTAAACGTAAATAGCCATAAAGCTGGAAATATAGTTAAGATGATCGGTAAGATATTTAAAATTTATGAAGCAATAATAAAACAAATTTCATGTCTTGTGTGAAAATCTTAGTTTTTTTTCAAATATCCTATTTAATATAGAATATGGGGGGGGGGATGCAAGAATAAGATTTATAAATTCATATTCATATCTCAAATTGTATTATTTAAGATTAAATAAGTAGTAATTAATTATTAACACTTATACCTAAACCTGTAGAAGTTTACCCTACCGAACATCTTTTTTGCAGCTCACTAGCACAGAATAAGTTTAATTTGTTCTTTATCTTACTTTTAAAATGTTTAAGCTACGTTAGGTGGCACAGAATTCAAACGCAATGTTGATCAAATGTGCTCTACACAAATATCTTTAAATAAGTACTCAAACAACCCGAAAAACATTAAAATTATTTACTAAAACATTAATGAACGAATCCCGTTTCTATTATTGTATTCAAAAAAGTATATTTTAGTGAACTAATTGTTATTCAGCTTACATGTGTAGTCTACAGTGGAGATATGTTGAGTTATAAACTCGGAGAGTGAGTTGAACAAATAAACAACGAAGAGCCTAAATAGACCAGAGTTTCTGCATTGTTTACGTTTCATTTATAACAAGAGCGGTTTGGTTTGCACATTCAGTTGTTAGAGGTCAGTTTTTATTTTATATTTTTCGACTTTAAACTTCCTAGCTTTCCTCTATAATATTTAGTTTTGTAACTCGTGATTTTTTATTAAAAGAGATGGCGTTACTTTATAATATTCATTATATTAAAATATACAATATAGTATATTAAACTATGTATATAGCTATTTTTGTCAACTTTTTTTGGGTTATATTTACCTGAAAAGGAATAAAAAGAAACTTATGGAATGTTTAAAAAGTTATCAATAAAACTCCTTACGAGCCAAATTTGGCTATTTTGATCAAATCTTTATATTTCATGTGGTTTAGTTGTAATTGTAATGTAATTGTTAGATAAGATAATCTAACATACAGCATGCTCAGTTAAATATTGATTTAAACTTGTACTTAAACTTGTATTTAAACTTGTATTGTGCGATGGATCAAAAGACTAAACTAAATATACATAAAAGGAAATCACTAGCCAATATTTATAATAAAATACGTTATCATTTTAGATTAAACTCATTTAAATATTCACACTTGTGCTGTACAATGGTGGCAACACTGATACGGGAACTAGATTTTAATTTAGTCGTAAATGTTGTAGTTATTTAGAATTAAAAACCCACTAATTTCAATCGAGTCTCTATCAAAATTCTTTTTATGTTATTAGTTTTGAAATATTTAACCACCCCAAATAAAAAGGTCATCTGACCATAAAAAAAATTACCTTTATAGCATTATGACCTGTAATTTAATGAAAAACTGATGATAATCTTAAATATCGAACACTTCATGAGATGGTTAAATCTAGTTTCTTTATATTTATGTAAGTCTAAAAGCATACAGTGGGTAGATGTAAATACATATAATAAATGCTAAGTATTAAACTTATTTTGAATTGTTTAGTCTAAAATGTTTCAAACCTCGGTTTTTGTACGAAATGCTCTCTGATCTTTCAAAGTAATTTCTAAGTTGGATTATTGAAATAATTCAATTTGCCTAAATGGGTTTACAAAATTATCACAAATTATTTCAGTATAGTTTGGTTATTAAAATGATTATAGTCTTCGGCGATTTCTCTAACCTTCTGGATAAAAATATAAACACGTTCATGTTATTTTTACCACAACCCTCCAGAGATTTGGGAGTGAAACGAGATGGATACATGATGAAAGGCAGCTCGTGCATTGTGTATTTCCAGTCCAATGGACGAGAGTAAAAGCATTCGCTTGATTGAATATTTCGTTTCCAGGGTTGTTTTACACTTCCCGCCCCTACAGAATATGTAAATCTGTTTATGTAAGAACGTGTATTGAAATTTGACAAGAAGTAATATTGAACTTGGGAAAGTTAGTGTTCGTGTTGTTGTTGGTTTAGTACTTGTGAAAGTGGTTAACTTGAAAAGTTGTAAACATGTCTTAGTACTTTAATTTTTTTTAATTTTTTTTGGTTGGTTTTTTTTTTAAGTACGTGTAACTTAGACTCAAAATTTTAAAATAAAACCTGAACTTTTAAGTTAATCTTAACTACGGTTCTTCAAAGACATTGTAAAGGTTATTACGAATATTCGAGACGGAAGAGAAGTACAGCAAGTACAGTTTTTTGTGATATTATTTATTTTTATAATAGTTTTCAACGTTAAAAAAGAAATTTGAAACTGCTATACTTCAGAAAATTAATCTCTAAAATATTTTACCATTAATAACCAGTTTTCTTAGACATAATACCCACTCTTTTAAAGTTGTGCTACAAGTGTATGAAGTCTATCTAGGTGATGTTTTTAATAATTTAAATTTCTTGAATAACAGTTTAGGTGTTGACACTTTGTTATCAAGCCACATATTTATTGACTGTAAAATCATTATAAAATTATTGGCTTTAATAAAACAAGTTTGTAATAATACAATAATTTCATAAAATAAAATTCTAACAAATATTATAAAATGGTAAAATATCATTCTCATTTCCACAAATATTATGATACAATTAAAGTTCCAAAGGCCAAGTGGCACAGGTGTAGAATTTACCGTAATTTTTTTTTTACACGTATTATGATATTAAGTGTATGTCTATACCTTGGCTAAGTATGTATACATTTATTATTAAAAATTACTTGGAACATATAAATACTTGTGTTCACCAAATAATTTGCCATAATAAGTTAAAAGATTGTCTTAAATATATTATTACCTAACGACAATGTTGATTCCACGTTTTAGTAACATGGGAGCCTAGAAGATATCTTAACTCAAAGCTCTGAGTATATTTATTAAATAAATTTTTCATAGGTTGTGTAATTTTGTTGGTAAATGATTTATTTTACAATATTTAGCAACATGTTTAGATGTTTTTGTTGAATCGTGGCACAAATAAATATCTAAATAAATTCTTAATACACACCTTAAGTTACTTGTGAAAGTTTTGGAAGCACGCTATCTAAAATATAACTGAAAATAGCTTACATCTTGAATCTTATATCATGTCATTTTTTGAATTTCAAAAAAGTCTGGGTATAACTAAATTTAACGTGGTTTGTAAATAAAAATATAACTCCTAGTAAACTTGTCTATTTCAATGTTTTTTTTCTATAAAATATTACTTTTTTGGTTACGATCCCCCACTAAAAGACAACATGCATGTTTTTTAAATGACAGGAGTCTCATATTACATAGGAAAAACACTTTTTTCTTGTGTTATTTGCTCATATCAAGGTCTACTTAACGGAACTTATAAACACTGTCCACTTTGGATTGGATAATGACATTTAAAGTATAGTCTATTTTTTCTAAAACAATAACTCAAATTCTAACTATGCCAGGGAATTAGAAAATACTACTGTTTTATAATTTATAGATCATAATATATCAAACGCTACCCATTATAATATACAATAATTACTTTCTACATATCAAGTTACTAACTAATAGTCTTACTTTTTGTAGTAACATGTTTATTGCTCTCGATACCAAGGATCTTCATTAATTAACGTATTACTTTTACATTTAAGTTTTACAAAACTTTGTCGAATTTCAACCATATCGACAAATAACTAAATTCTATGTTTGTTATAGTTTGGTTAGTGGAACCAGTATTCTCAATTCTGTCTATACCAAGCAATACTAACTCATTAGCATTCCCCTGTACAAGTCTTGTGTGACCTAACATCATTCATAAACATAAACTACCACATCAATTTAGGTAACTAAATGTTTAATGTACATGATTTTGTAAATATAAGTATTTCTGTATGGGTATCGTCAAACCTTGATGATAATTTTTTTGTTTAAATGAATTAGAACTTAAACCTATCACGTTTCTATCCGCACATACGAAACTCCAACCACTAACGAATTACACTGTTTATATCATACTTCACCGAACATCACAAAACAGGATTCTTTCATGTAACTAAATTGAAAATTACAATTAAGCAATTACACCAATATATTACACTTTTAAAATCATATTATGCCAAACAATATCCATTCCGATTATCTATCTTTAAGAGATAACAAAATTATAGTCTAATTTTCGTGAAACTGAATTTCCAATTCGGTCGTCTATACCAAGGAATCCCCAAACACCAACTAATTACACTGTGTTAAAGATCCGTTCTAAACTTTATCCTAAATGTCATCACTCTATTGCCTAACTGAATTTAAATAAGGCCTAGATTTTAAAACAATGTATCCAATTCCGTATATTTAAAGGAATTTTAAATGTCTTACAACGTACGTAATAAAATCTACCAAACTTTACCTGTAATTATGAACCACTTCAATTCAGGCATAATTCAAACTACACTCCAGATTTTTTTGAAATTAAAATTTCAACTATACCAAGGAATTATACCTTAGAGGTATTAAATTGTGCAAAACACAATTCTAAGAAACATCACCAAAAACATCAATTACTTCAGACCAGGTAATTTAAATTATGGTGTAGAATTTCAAATATTCCCTCCCTCCTCTGTTCTGAGAAAGGTCGAAATATTAACGAACTACGTCAACCACTTACTCTTGTCTGTGTGAAATCCAAAAGCGATGTAGACACTCGTCATGTAGAAGTGTTCTAGACACTCCCGCACTGTGTAGAGTCTCAGACAAACTGAGTAGACAGTGCTACAGGTAGGTGCGTGGTCACCACCCCAAGCACCTCTAGACACCCTAGTCACCCACCGCGCCGCGCCGACGCCACGTCCATCGATCACGTAACACAAACCTCACTTCTACTCTGCTCGGTGCTGAGCCAGGCTACGTGCTCTTCACGTAATTGCCTAATATCTCGATCTTAAATTCGTGAAAAGAACAGTCAGCGATCTTTGCACCGATTGTGGTCTCTGCGGGTGGGTAATTAACTTTTCCTTTGGGAAAAGTATAGTACTCTAGATTGGTACAGGAGATTTTGCTGTTATAATTTTGACTAATAATAAACCACTTTTTAAAACACTTTGTGACTAAAACTCTTCAATCAAGTACAGCTTAAATATTTAAATTAGTCAGGAAATGATATAAATAAACTAGGGTACAAGTCACTAACCATGCGTAATTCATTTTTTACTTCACTGTATCTTATAAATTGTGTCTATAATTTTTTATGATACTGTACATGAAATATGCACGTTGCGCTGTTATACAAGAAAGGGTCGAAATGTTATCTTTTTAACAAAATTACCCATGATGTTTTAACATAAAGTGAGGTCACTAATCTGTTATCATTCGATCCTTTTGTCGTTATATTTTCGAGATTAAACCCCCATTTTCAAATCTTTCTCTTCAGACGACAAATATAGGATTGATTGATGACAGCTTAGTAACCCCATTTTATGTCAATTAATAAACCCTGGAGGCAAATTGTGTATAAAAATAATGTTTTACCCAAGCCTAGAAATGAAATAAAATAGACCACACTAAATCAAGGACGAAGTTAAAATCATCAAAAACTGACAAATAGCTATTGATTTTGATCTAACTTAGATAATTATACTAACGTATCTACCGTTAGTTGAAGAAATAGTGTTTATTAGCAGCGTTAATTATTTGGTCTGCCGTGCTTTCTAGAATACTTAACGAGGACATTACTACCTTTGCTCACGAACACATTAAATATTTCTTGTAATCTGAGGAATAAACTAGACGTTGGTATTTCACTCTTTAGTATGCAAACGAAATGTAATCATATTTATGTTAATTATACAATCATGTAATATAGAATGCCAAGCAAGACTTTTAGTGTTTTCATTATCAACATCGACCTGCTGGGAATAAGATAAAGAATATTTAGTGGTGGAGCTACTATTACTAATGGAACATAATGCTTGGTTAGAGCAAATGCATATTCGTAGCATGCATTATGCATACCCCTCTATTGGGTATAATCTGTATATTTTATTAAATGGTATTCATTATTAGAAATGTTGGCAGTGGGCTAGCTCCTGTACTATTTATTGAATGTAAAATAAAATATTTGTACAATTGAAAAAATAAAGGAATATAGACCGCCTTAAAATTAAACAACAAAACAGTCTGAAAATATATAAATTGTCTTGTGGGAGCTATGTATACTGAATTTTAGTACATGGGCGATCTTAGATACAACCGGAAATGTATTGGCCACCAAAATTAAACTCGACTTAAAGAATCAATTCCTCAACGTATATTATAGCATGTGAATACATAAATGTGCCAAATATAATTTAAAATCTATACCAAGAGAAGTAATGTCAAATTGTCTATGTATAATTTGGCTTGCAGACCTCTGAGGTACTTTGTATACATTGCAGAGTCAGCAATATCTCCGTTTGGTGGACGTCTTACTCTGCAACATAAACCACATCTGCTGCACCCTCCGACATAAACAACCCTGCATGTCTGGGAACACTGGGAATGAAATACTCACAACTGACTTCATCAGTTTGGTCCTTACAGCCAACTCATATTAATATAGGAGTAATTTTCGCCCTGTAATATAAAAAAAATATCCTTGATTATCTACAGAATTAAGAAAGTAATGTGGTTAATTTTCACCCACTAATGTAATAATAAATTTTAATCGTCGATGTATACATTTGAATGGTTGTCATGTCATTTGCTCAAATAGCTGATAGAAAGAAAACTACTAGTTTTCTACTAGTTTCTACTAGTTTTAGTGAGGAGGTGGGTTCTTATAATAAATAAATCAATAATAATAATAACAATAATAAATCAATAGAACAGGCCACTAGGAGTGACGAAAGCTACATGGGAATTACTCAATGCATTTCATTCGAGAAAGGCTTAACTCAGGTTACATAAAAATGATTCATATTTTTACACAATTAGGCTAATAAGAGGTTGGTTGATCAAAAAGGAACTTATAAAATAGGGGAATTCTTTAGGTCCAATAATTTCATAAATATATGAAAATAGATCCATGTGACGCAGACACATCAGCGAGAGCATATTAAGGTGATAATGAATAGATGGCAAAATATCTGTAATGTATGAGATTACAAATTTTATATTGGATTTGATCAGCCTTTTCTCAATGGCCACTTTATACAGCCAATACATTTACATCAACTACTCATATAAATTAGATCAGATTTAAAGGGTCAAGTTTTTATCCATCGCTACGGCTTCTACTTGAGTATTAATGATAATTAATTATATTCTGAGCTATCCAACTGTACAAATTACAATGTATTGATTATTGTGAGTAGAGTAAGCAAATCAAAGTGCATAAAGCTCTATCTCACATACTTAATCTAGAAATGTATTGAGCTACACATTTCTAAACTAGATTTGATTACTAACCTACCAAAATAAAAATGAAACTACTCTAATGTTTACGTTCTGTATGTTCAATATTGTAAATAAATAATAAACCTTAAAACCAATATAAATAATAGCAGATAAAGTACATTATGCATAAAAAACATTCACAACATCATCAATATTCTTAGACCTAGTTTTTGTGTAAATTTGCAAACTGCAGTATTGTTTAATAATCACTAATAATCGCTACAACAATGGTCACCATCAGATATCACCCAGTCGATATGTCGTGTCCGGCCTCAAACAACAATCATTATGTTCCACACAGCACGTAGCAGAAGATAAATAATCCTAGTGCATGTATTCCTAGAAAAATAAACATACTAAAAAATATTTTCGTATGTTAATGTAAATAAAAATAGCTCAAACACTTCACTGAATCTTACCTGAACGATATACACGGTCCATTATAGATGTTGCCTCCGGATTGCCAAATAATATTAAAAAAGGTTCAAATATAGCTATTAGGCAATCCAATGTTGTTGTAAACACACGTTTTGCCACCTGTTTGGCACCATCATCCTGTATGATCTTATGCTGAGATGATAAGATAGCGGACGTACACCACTACACTGTCCACCAGTTAGTAGACTGGACTCAAACTCCAACGGGTTAGCGTCGTCTGTATTCTTAACACTGATCAATTACCATAAATGCTTCGTATTCGTGTTTGTGTCGTATTTAAATGTCTATCTATTATTTTCGTGTTAATCAATCTCTTCGTATGAAGAAAGAAAACCGTTCTTGTACAGCTTGATGATGGTGCCATACAGGTTCCGAAACTAGTTGTGTTTACAACATTGGATTGCCTAATAGCAGGTATTCAAACCCAAGGCTTTCAAGGGAAATCAATCTGATTGGTTACGTTTATCTCGATATGCAATAGAAGTCGAATGATTTCATCCCCCACTCTGCTAACAACAAAATTAACTCATGGAGCAAGAAAAACAGATAAAATACATTTCAGACGAAAAGATTTTTGTTAACTGCTCAAACAGGACAAACACATTAGTTTAGTTTGAAGTCCACCTTATTAGATCGTATATTTGCTTGTATTAAGACATGGAGATTGTTTACGCTGGGCTGAGGAAGCGAAGCAGGTGCGGCCTATGTCTGCTTACAGCCGTTCTTCAACTACAATATTGCCTTTCTGAGGGCACTCGATACTTTGCAGATCCAATAGGCTTCGCAATACTCTCATAAGTGGATAGGATCATAGATTAGACAATATGCCCGATGTCCCTAACTAACAAGAAGTATGTAAATCAAAAAGTATTTTTGTCAAAACCTTAGCGTAAATTATTTAATTTGAATTTTTAGTTTGCTTTCTTAAGCTATTCAAACTAGGCGTTGTATACCTAGTGTGGACATTTCAAAACCTGACTATTATATAAATGAAATATTTCCATATCTTTGCTTGGTAACCCAATGAATAGATAACACTTATTTTAAGCCAAGCAGTTTAAATACCTGCATTTAAGTGATCACATTTTTTGTTTTATGTTGCAACCGGTTTCATCTCTGTGGAGTCATCTTTACGAGTACACGGATAAAGTTGTAACTTTATTTAAAGTTTGAAGGTCGTTATATATTTTATTAAACGAAAAACACACGGATAATGAACAGGCACAACATTTTAATATTAAAACTATGGAGATCAGTCCACAGTAATTTAAATATCCCGCCCCGTTCGCGCGGCCATAATGTCGTAATATTTCATAGTATATCATGGTTTGAACGTGGCGGGATATTTAAATTATTGTGGACTGATCTCCACAAGATCACTCCGGCCGGGAATCGAACCCGGGTCTCCCGCGTGACAGGCGGGGATACTGACCACTATAATACCGAAGACCGGCTGTCGTGTCTCTGCTGTCAACCCAGAAGGATGCCTTGCTAAAGACATGGGAAATGGGGGTATGGCCCCGTTGGAGGTACCGTATTAAACAATAGTTTTCTTAATTTCATCGATAGCTATTTTCAGATCATGTAGTCAAATTCACTCATTTCATTTATTCCGTCAGGACTCCATTTCATTAATTGGTTCAAATGTTAGTTCACGATGTGTCCGGTTGGTTGATATTATTAATATTACATGTTGTAGGATTAAGACATTTCTGCAGTAAAAATTATTTAATTATAATCAAACAATCATCAAAGTACTCTTTGGGCCAGTGAATTGCGGTAAATTGTTTCTTTCATATTAATTTTAATTAATGTGTCCAGTTGTCGTTTCCAACATGAACGATTTGGTTTACGATCATTAATCACATGACCAAATCACCAATGTGTG